AGGAGGAGGAGGGAGGAGGAGGGAGAGGAGGGGGAGGAGGAGAAGAGGGCTCAGATGGCCCCAAGATGCCTGCAAGACGGCCCAAAATGCACCAAAAACGGCCTAAGATGGCCTCAAGATGGCCCAAGACGGCCCAAGAGGTTCCTAAGAGGCCTCCCAGACGGCCCAAGAGGCCCTCAGAGGTCCCCCAGGAGGACCCGAAGAGGCCAACATCATTGATTTGGCGCTTGCTCGTGTTTGGTATTCCGACCGCTCAAGACGGCCCAAGAGGCCCCCAAGATCGCCCCAAGATCGGCCAAGAGGCCTCCAAGATGGCCCCATGACGGCCCAAGAAAAGAGGCCCTCAAGACGGCCCACAGAGGGCCCCAACAGGCCTCCAAGACGACCAAGATGGCTTCCAAGACGGCTAAGACGGCCCAAGATGGACCCAAGATGGCCTAAGATGGCCTCAACATGGCTCCAAGATGACCCAAGATGGCCTCCAAGACGGCCAGGATGGCAAGACGGCTAAGATGGCCCCAGGATGCCTTCAAGACGGCCCAAGATGCAGCCAAGATAACCCAAAATGGCCTCGAGATGGCCCAAGACGGCCCAAGAGGCCCCAAAGAGGCCTCCCAGACGGCCCAAGAGGCCTCCCAGACGGTTCAAGGTTTTTCAAAGATTTTGGCATTTGCGCCTTGTCGGGGCTTCCGACGGCCCAAGACGGCCCAAGAGGCCCCCAAGGTCGCCCCAAGATTCAAGATCGCCCAAGAGGCCTCCAAGATGGCCGCATGACGGCCCAAGAGGCCCCCAAGACGACGACCTCCAAGACGTCCAAGATACTCTCCAAGACGGCCCTGAAGCGCCCCAGGAGAGAGCCCCAAATCGGTTGAGAAAGGCCCCCAAGACGGCTTCCGACGGTGTCAGACGGGTCGGAAACGCCCTTAAGACGGCGAAAGAGGCCCCCAAGAAGTCCCCAAAGGCCCCCAAGAAGCCCCCAAGAGGCCCAGGGGAGCTCCCAAGAGGCCTCCAAAAGGCTCCCAGGAAGCTCCGCAGAGGCCTCCCACGAGGCCTCGCAAGACGGTTCCTAAGAAGTCTCCTCCTCCTCCTCCTCCTCCTCCTCCTCCTCCTCCTCCTCCTCCTCCACCTCCTCCTCCTCTCTCCCTCCTCTCCGCCCTCCTCCTCCTCCTCCTCTTCCTCCTCCTCCTCCTCCTTCCCCATCATCCTCATCATCATCCTGATCATCCTTCTAATCATCATCCTCCTCCCTCTCCTGATCCTCATCCTACTGCTCCCCCACGCGTTCCCCGAAGGCTCTCCAGACCGACTCGGGGAACAACTGGCCCGATAGCTTGGCCAAGCTCCAGCCCAGCTGTCGGCCACATAGGCGCTTCCAAAAGGGCAGGGGGCGGCGGTGATTCGCCGTAGGCCTCCTCCATCCAAACACCGCCTCTCCCCAGAGACCTTCCCCATGGGGGGCGCCCTGCCCAGAGCTTCGAGGAGCCTCTGGCCGCAGCGACGAGGGCACCCCGGGAGGCCCTCAGCGAAAACGAGGCAGGGGCGGCAGTGTCGGTATACCGCTGCCTCCTCGGAGCTGCGCCCCTGCTCGAGCATGCAGTGGAGGCCCGACCACAGGAGACCTCCCACAGGAAGCCCAACCCTGGAACCTCGGGGCGCCCATGGACTTTTGTCTTGGCGTGGGCACGTCAGCCTCTCCACAGCGAACCCACCGAAACCCAAGAAAAGCCCAGGGCACCCTGGAGGCGAGCGGGGTGCTCATTGGCATGGGCCTCCACCGTATGTGCCGACCCTGGCCTGGGCCCATCCTGGGCCCGGGACCGGCGCACGCGCTCTCCCGGCCTCGGCCAGGGAGGCAGGCGCACCCAGCAGGATCCCAGGAGGGGCCCTGGCCAGCCTCGCTGCACGTGCACACCTCTCGCCGCCCCGCCCCCCCCCCCCCCCCGCGGGTCTCCGAGCGCAGCTGCCCGGACGCCTGGCCGGCCTTCTCGCTGAGGACGGACCCCGCCTGCAGGGAGGGGGGGTTGCAGAGGGCGCCGGGTGTTCGGGAGCGGCCAAGAGGGGGGTGTCCAAGATGGGGGGTGCAAATCATGACCGGCGGCATGTGTGCGGCCCAGCGGGGGGGCCAGGGACGTAGTGAAATAAGAAGAGGCGCCATGAAGTCTGGGGAAATAACATGGCCCCCGCCATGATATCCACCCCCCCTAGTCATCACCCCCCCTTTTCCGAGGACAGGAAAAAAAACGGACCTGGGGAAAGGGTCGGGACTTCCGGGGACCCCGAGTTGAAGAAACAGGGTGTCGGAGGTCTGGGGAGATCGGGGGCGACGATGGGGGCGAATAGCCCAGGGGAGAGCAAGACATGCATCCAGAGGCGCCGACGGTCCATGCCTTCCGCAGGGCTCCCGGCCGAATGCATGCAATGCCCGCCCCTGGACTGTTCTCGCCCCTATCGTCGCCTCCGAGGAGATGAAGGAGGAGGAGGAGGAGGAAGAGGAGGAGAGGGAGGAGGAGGAGGAGGAGGAGGAGGAGGAGGAGAGGAGAGGAGGAGGAGGAGAGGAGGGAGGAGGAGGAGGAGAGGTAGGAGGAGGAGAGGAGGAGGAGGAGGAGAGAGGGGGAGGGGAGGAGGAGGAGGAGGAGGAGAGGAGGAGGAGGAGGAGGAGGAGGAGGACGAGGAGGAGGCGGAGGAGGAGGAGGAGGCGGAGGAGGCGGAGGAGGAGGAGGAGGAGGAGGAGCTGGCGCCAGAGACGCCAAGGTATCATCGAGGGAGGCGCCCTACGGCGGGGCCAAGACGAGCGGCGTGCAGCAGAATTCCTCCCCCCCTTTCACTATCCCCCCCTTTTCGTACGATCTGGGAAGGGGGACAGGCTCAGGGGGGAGGCATCGAGCTCGAGTCGGCAGGACATCGCCGACAGATCGGCGATGAGCCACCGACAGCGAAGCCGCACATTCCTGAGCTGGGCGGGCCATCAGGCCCCCATCGGCGATCAGTGGGCGATTGGGGATCGATGCATCCCCCTGGAGCCTGTCCCCCCTTGACGTTGACCCTCATCTCATCGCGCGACCTGTTGCAGGGATCCCTGCGCTCAAGCTTCTCGTCTAGTTGCACAGCGCCCCCCAGTGAACGATGACTGACTGAAGCCGTGCAGCCCTGGCGGACGCGTGGGCCGATTGAGCGAAACAGGATACAACGTAATGCACAAGTGCACAAGCACAGGAAGAAGGAGAAGGAGGGAGGGGGCGGAGGAGCATATCACAGAAGCTGGTGAACTGACGCCCGCAGTGAACGACACTGCCCACGAAATGCACCAAGCAGGCCCAGAGCCGCGCGAGAACCACGCCGCAGCAGGTAAGCCCGCGCGCGAGTCGAGACTTCGGTGCTTGTTCAGAAATGGCGCCTTCCACTATGCTGCTCCCATCGTACTTGAGGACCAGATCCCAGAAATCACTTCGAGCAAATATCGAAACAGTGTCGAACGAGTAACGCCTCCCTGGGCCCGACACGTGCAAACCTCCAGTTCTGGTACATGTCTTGGTGCTCGGCATTCTGTCTGGCGAACAGGGCCAGAGCAGGTTGGACCATCATAAGCCCTGCACGCGAATCGAGGCCTCGGGGCCGGTTCCGAAGTGGCGCCCTCGCCTCCCCGATGAGGGCGGCCGCGGCCACGCGAGCTGCGAGGCGGCGCTCCTCGCCCGCCCTCACTGCCCCTCCAGAGGTGGGGCCTCGGAAGGCCTCCCGAGTCCACCAGGGAAGCACCTCCAGAGGCCCCCTGGAGACCCCCGGCGGACCAGAAAACAGACGACAGCACCCCATGGCTCCTCCTCCTCCTCCTCCTCCTCCTCCTCCTCCTCCTCCTCCTCCTCCTCCTCCTCCTCCTCCTCCTCCTCCTCCGCCTGCGCCTCCGCCTCCGCCTCCTCCGCCTCCTCCTCTTCCTCCTCCTCTCACTCCTCTCTTCTCTTCCCCCCTTCCCCCCCTCGCCGTGCACCTGCGGCTCCACGGGCCTCAGCATATAGCAGAAATCTCAGAAATCCAACGTATTGGAAAATCAGGACGGAGGTTTTTCGCCGTTCTCAGCATCTAGAGGCCCTCGCCGGTCCGCGGGACCTTCAAAAAACCACTCAGGATGGAAAACCGGTCCCGGGGAATGGGTCGAGACTTCGGGAAGGGGGCCGTGCTGAAAAAACACGACACCAGATCTTTGGGATTCCGGCTAGGGCTTCTGCGTGGTAGACGCTACGGCCCCCGACGGGCGGCAGCGCAACATTGAGGGCCGCAGGTGGGCAGGTGTCGCTTCTTTTCTGGGCGACCCCGGGCCTCTCCTGAGCCTCCAGGGGGGGAGGGGGGGGTCGGCCCTGGCCCTGGGGGTGGCGGAGGCGACAGGCCCTCCTGTGGGCGGCGAGCCAGGGGGGGCAAGTGGGAAGGAGAAGGCCTTCTCAGAAGGCGGCGGGACTTCTGAGAAGCCGTCGCGCCTTCTGAGAGGTGTTGTCTCTTCGGAGAAAGCTTCGAATTCTCACCGGGCTGGGGACTTCTGAGCCTTCCGAGAAGGCCCGCCCCTCCCAGACCCCCGACGTCGTGATGTCCGTCACAACGTCGACCCCCAGAGGTCTGGACCCCTTCCCCGGAACCGGTCTTTCATCCTGATGAATCGTCTTTGACGGTCCCGAGGCCCGGTAAGGGCCCCCAGAGGCCGAAAAGAACGAAAAACCTCCCGTCGCAATTTTTGCTCACAACGCGAAGGGGCCCGTCGGAGAGTCTCTGACCCGGGTCAATCCAGACCCAGGTCAGTCAGGCCTTGCAAGATCCTGCGAGATCCTGCACCCAAACCCGGGTCAATGCGAAGGATCCTGCAAGATCCTGCAGGATCCTGCACCCTGACCCGGGTCAGTGCAGACCTGGCCCTGCAGGATCCTGCAAGATCCAGCGCTCTGACTGACCCCCGTTTGCATCGACCCCCGTCTCCTGAGCCCCGAGCCTGGGCTTCCTCGCTCCCCCCCCCGGGCTCGCCGCCAGTCCTGGCCCTGCATGGAGGGCGCGCGGCCTGGCCCGCGGCCGGGGTCGGAGCGACGCGGACGCGCGGCGAGCCCCACCGGCCAGAGCCCCGCACGCAGGGAGGGGGGGGGGGCGGAGGGCCTGGGCTCGGCAGCGCAGGAGGAAAGGCAGAGGGGACGGGCCTGAACCCAGGCGTCCCGAGTCGTTGTTCTTCCTGTTCGTGCTGGCAGCGAATCTCTTCTTCGAGGATCTTCGCCGCGGCCTGAACCCAGACCCCCCTCGCGCTGTGAACAAAAAGCACGGCGGGAAGTTTTTGTCGCTGTTGTGTCGGCCTCCCACGGCGGGGCCCTCCCCTGGCCTCGGGGCCGTCAAAGAAAAGGTCGGGAGGAGAAGCCGGTTCCCGGGAAGGGGTCCAGACTTCTGTGGGGCACGTCATGGAACACTCACGACGTCGGGGGCCTGGGTTCTCGGAGAACTCCGAAGGGCTTCTGGCCCTCGGACACGTGTCTCTGCCTTCTGTGAAGGCCGAGGCGGCTTCCCGGAAGCCCAAGGGGGCTTCTGAGGAGCCCCGCCGCCTTCCTGGGAGGCCCGCCCCCCCTTCGCTTCCCCCCTCGGGGCGCCGCCGATCCGAGGAAGAGGGACGTGTCGACGGGAGAAGGGGGGAAGGAGAGCGGGACCCAGACATGCGGCGGCTCGAGCGTCCCGTGCCCGAAACCGTCGCGGTGGGAGCAGGAGACAGAGCGACGGCCACGGGGGACGAAGAGCATTGCGAGGGGCCAGACGAAGCGTCGTGCGGCGACGCCGGTTTTCCCTCGAGGCGGCACCGAGGCGGAAGCGATGGCACGCGGCGGCTCTCCCACCTTGGAAGCGTTCTCGGTGACTTTGCCCACGACAGACCCCAAGTCTGCTGCGTTCGCCTGGGGGAGGACGAGCAGCAGCAGCAGCAAGGGCAGCAGGAGGGCGGTGGGCTGCCAGTCTCTGCACCAACGTCGATCAAGGCTGGCGAACGTGGTTGTCATCCCTGGTGGGACGGAACTACCCCCCCCCTCGCTCTATCTCCATCTCTCTCTCTCTCTCTCTCCCTCCCTCCCTCCCTCCCTCTTTCTCTCCCTCTCTCCCTCTCTCTCGTTTCCAACGTGCTCGCCTGCTCGCTCGGTCACTCGCAAGTGGAAGTGGAGACTGGCCGAGCACACTCTCCCTTCTCCACCCTGACTGCGCGCAGGCCATACGAGAATAGCACGCCGCCGGACGAGACCCGACTCTCGCCTCGAGGCCCGCCGCAGACCCCAGACCCCAGACCCCCGCGGCTTCAAGCGAGCGACATACATGGAGGAGGCGACGGTGGAGCAGTAGGGCACCGTTGCTTCGGCACCCTGTCGTGGAGGGTTTCTCCGAAGGGCTTAGGCGACCCGTCCTCCTCCTCTCTCCTCCCCCTCCTCCTCCTCCTCCTCCTCCTCCTCCTCCTCCTCCTCCTCCTCCTCCTCGTCCTCCTCCTCCTCCTCCTCCTCCTCATCCTCCTCGAATTGTAAACACCATTTTGGTGAAATATACACCGTCGGAGTACTCCCCAGTCCAAGTGGTTTATTCCCAGGCTTCCTGTTCTAAACCGTGATGAAATCTCACTCGTCGCAGAGAGGCGTCGTAGAGGCCTCTAAGACGCCTCTAAGAGGCATCGTAGAGGCCTCTACATCCTCGGGCGTCTTTAAGCCCCACCTTTGGGCCTCACTGGTGTAGATTCGCTTGTTTTCCAATATGCGGTTTTGGACCGCCGGGGACCTCCGTAAACGGACCTCCGTGTTTGGACACTCGGGGACCTCCACAAATCGAAAAAACAGCGCTGGGGAGTACTGCTTCATTGAACTGTCCTTGCTTTCGCGCCCTGGTCTAGATATGCGCTTCCAGCCAGCGGCACTTCCTCAGCCGATGCGTCCCGCAGACACGGATTGATTGATTGATTGATTGGTTAATTGATTGGGGACCCCCACTCGGGTCTCCCTGGTGCTTCTTTTCCATGTTTACCGGGATGCGTTTTTGACCCCCGGAGACCGCAAATGGACTTCTGTTTTTGGACCCCTGGGCACCTCCACAAATCGAAAAGACAGCCTCCACCCTCCTCGGAGCTCCACCCTCCTCCACCCTCCTCGGCATTCCACCCTCCTCGGCACTCCTCGGCACTACACACTCCTCGGCACTCATCGGCACTCCACCCTCCTTCACCCTCCTCGGCACTCCACCCTCATCGGCACTCCTCGGCACTCATCGGCACTCCACCCTCCTTCACCCTCCTGGGCATTCCACCCTCCTCGGCACTCCACCCTCCTCGGCACTCATCGGCACTCATCGGCACTTCACCCTTTTCTCGGCACTCCTCGGCACTCCACCCTCCTCGGCACTCCTCGGCACTCCTCGGCATTCCACCATCCTCGGCACTCACCGGCACTCCACCCTCTTCGGCACTCATCGGCACTCCACCCTCCTCGGCACTCATCGGCACTCCACCCTCCTGCTAAGCAC